TCACAGCCCTGCTTTGATTGTATGTCTCTGGTTAAAGCAGCTCGCTGCTGCTCAGTGCGCTGCTGAATGTTGCTCATGCAGACACAATCGATCCTTCTGCTTACTAACGGCCTCACGATGCCTTTCTTGCCATTTCTCTTTTTCCCTCCTTTCTGCATTACTTCTTGTGCGTAGGATCTGTATCAGGTTCGTATGAGAGGCTTTAAACGTTACACCACTGGCTGTTTAAATATGACCTCTGAGCACAAACGTACAGGAAAAATCCACCGTTCAGGCTGAACGTGAAGCTTTGACAAATTCAAATGAAATGTGATGAATGAGGTTCATTTCTCTTCGGTCTAAAAGCACAGCTGCTGATTATTTTAAGCTGCTCTCATAAACGTACGATTATCTGTCCCCAAAGGGAGGAGGATTATTTAAACGAGGATTCATAACCAGATTTTAAGTCATATAAAAAAAAAAAGATGAAATCTGTCTTTAGAAATGTGACACCACATTTTAGCCTTTATTGGATAGAGACGGTGTAGAGACAGAAGCACTGAGCGAAACCGGTCGAAACGGCTCGGTGCAACAAAGTTACAAAATTAGAATCAATCAAAGAACTGTTTCAGAAGTTTTTAATCCAAACCTGCTGGTCATACCTCCTCAGCATGTTTGACACACATGTGCTGCAGTGAGACCAGCTTAAAGGCCGCAGCCTGCCGTCTGTGTCGTTTGTATCGTGGCTGGGATGAAGTCTAGTTAAAGGTTTCCAGTAAGACGGAAAATTGAACAAAAATGAAAAGAAGCCTTGAAATTAGCCTGTGTGTGTGTGTGTGTTAGCTGACGGTGGATTCTTCCTGTAACAGCTCAGACTCCAACAAACCCACAAATATTTGTGTTCTTTTGTTCCGTTGCTTTTTCGACCTTCCTGCTGTCCGTGTGGTTCAGTGTGAAACATTCTCAGGTTGTGGTTGGCGCTGAGTGACTCTGACCTCTGTGCGCTCTGTCTGTCCCCGTCAGTCTGGTGGTGCTGGTGGCGCTCAACATGCTGCTGTTCTACAAGCTGTACGCTCTGGAAAGAGCCGCACATACACTGGAGACGTGGCACTCCTACTCTGTTGCTGACAGGTAAAAGACACCGCCCTGCTTTCCTTAAACAAACACACACACACACACACACACACACACACACACACACACACACACACACACACACACACGTTCCTCTGGGAAGGATGTTTGGTGTGAGTTGCTCCTGTGGGGGACCACAGCTCTGTTACTGCATAGCAACAGGTCAGAACAAGAAGTTTTAAAGGGGATAAAATCAGTAAAAATAGGATGAGGATCATTTAAGTAATAAAAAAATCTATTTCACACAAAATGAACCAAACGGCAAAACAAATAAAAAACTGGCTTTCAGCAGGAAGGAAGTCCCGTCTTGTCTTATTCTCTGTGACGCAGGGACTATTTTCTTTCTACCGTCTACGAGCTAACGTTGCAGGTGGACGTCACTGTTTCCGTCCCGTGAGGAGCGAAAGGTTTGATCCTCGGGTTTGTGTGGCCGCCTCCTGCACGCTGTGACACGCTCGGTTTGGTTGGAAGAAAATAGTTCGTCCATGAAACCGCTCACGGACGGGTTTGTGGATATTTTTAATAACCTGCTGAGTTTTCAAACATGTTTCGGTGCTTTGGACAGCACACAGGACAGGAAGTGCACTTTCAAACTAAAAGTTTGAGTTCCTGCTCGCACACTAACGCACATGGACATTCACATTTTTGGAAGCTTGTATTGAACCTTCTGACAAGTCTGTTTATGAGTTTTCATTCGTATTACTTTTGCTTTTTTGTCTAATTTATTGCTCAGTTTGTTTCTTAGACAAAAACATAAAAGGTCACTTTGTGCTGTTGACTCTGGGTTAAAGAGCTCTTCTTCTTCCTCTTGTTTCTCCTTCCTCCTCCTCACCTCTCAGTCCTTTGCCTCAGACAGCTGGGGAGTGGGCTCAGGTCCTGCAGCTGCAGAGGCAGTTTCATCAGGCCCAGCTCAGCAAGTGGCAGCAGATCCTGCAGTCCTCCGTCTCGCTGCTCGACCAGGTTGGCGTCCCGCTTCAGTTTGCGTTGACGGCTGGCTTCAGCTCACAGATTATAACCCAGCGTGTGCCTCTCTCTGTCTCCAGATGAAGCAGTCTTTAGAGAAGCTCCACCAGGGCATCGTGGTCCCAGAGGTCAAGCAGGACCCCCCTGCTGACGCGGAGTCCCTGACCGAGGCCTGAACCTCGCCTGCTCCGACTGCCCCCCTCCCAACCTCCGAACCTGCAGAGTTTCGGATCGTTTCCTGTTTGAACCCCGGTGAGAGAGGACGCCGCTCAGAACTCTCCTCGCCCGACTGACTTGAAACCGCGACGTTCACCTCGAGTGAACTCGGACTGGAAGCTTTCAGGACCACAGCAATAATTTCCCTGCAGCTGCAAGTCGTGCGTGTGTGTGTGCGTGTGTGTGTGTGTGCGTGTGTGTGTGCGTGTGTGTGTGTGTGCGTGTGCGTGTGCGTGCGTGCGTGCGTGCGTGTGCGTGTGTGACACGAGGCCACAGGTGGGCCCGTTCAGACCACCCGGTCAGCTGCAGTCTCCTTTAATTCAGACCTCGACTATCACCGACCGAACTTCCTCTTCTGACCGGCAACATTTCAGAGGTTCACGATTCGGGAAAGCGGGAGCGTCGATCGACTCTCAGCGGACGAGAAAAGAGGACGAGGAACACGCTCCCACTTCTCCCGGGCTCCGTCAGGGTTTTACGTCTTTTTCAAACTCGGTGCGTGCGACTGTTTCCTGGACCACGACAGTATTTATTGTTGCCGCTGACTGTCTCGTCCTGCTCTGAAGAAGTCATGTGATGCCTGTTTCCTGCTCTGATTTGCTGTTTTGTGCGTGGGCCAAGAGGGGCTCCACGAGAACGATCACTGGCCCCAGCAATAATAGTGATTCATGTTCTGAATGTTTCAGCAGAGTAGTACATAGATACATATATATATATATATATAATGGTAATAATGAACCGTGTGTGAGTGTGTGTGCAGCGGAGGACATTTGGGCGTTCGTGTTAGTTTGTTTTTGAAGATTTCTCTTTCATGTTGGGTTCAGGTGGAAGCTCTAAGGTCTGATCAGTGACGGAGCGACTCCTGTGAGGACCAAGCAGACCTGTGAGGGTCCCGGAGAAGAAAAAAAGGGAATTTTTCTGGCAGTATTGTTTTTCTGTGTGTGTGTTTGTACGATTCATTTTCTTTTTATTCAGTTTTCATCTTCCGTCTTTGATTTTTGTCGTTATTCGTCCTCCCCGCTCACCGGACCTGAAAACATTTCACCCACCCGAGAGCTTCCTCTCTGGTTTTCTTTCCTGCTCTTCCTCACGCTCTCGTTCTCTTTCTCTCTCCATTTCGTTTTGGAAAACGGCGTCTGCTGAAGCATGCGGGCCCTGCTGTGCACGGCCGTGCGTGGGTAACAAAAGGATGTAATATTTATTAAAGGAGGGAGAGAGGGATGAGGAGCAGAGATGGGAATGTACTGTAAAGATGTGATTGTACACCATGCCATGGAGAGAAATGAAAAGCTCTAAACACGCAACAACGCCTCACTTTTCTTTGAGTCTGTGTTTGTCTCCTTTGGCTTAATCCATTTTGATTCACAAATAAAGTTCCTGCAGTCTTCTCCAACCGAGGAAAACCTCCGTCAGTGCAGGTAGGACATGTTGAAACATGGGTCTCATCTTTCCCCGCACCATGTCGTCCCATCCCGGGAATATCTGAGCTCCCGTGCTGATGATCGTTGAAACAACAGTCGTGCAAACACAGTGAGGATAAACCAGGCTTTGCTCTGCTGTAATGCCTCTTTGCACCACTAGAAGCTGCAGTTAGTCTGTGTGACTTTTGCTTAACCGCTTTATTTACAGTGGTGGTGGGGGTGGGTGCTAAAATTAAAAGAACCACAGAAAACTTATTAAGACTAAAGCTGGGTGCCCTGATGCAGTTCCCTCTCTCAGATTGCTGACCATGCGCGTCCCTTTATGACCTCAGCGTGCCATCTTCTGATTGGCTTCTCCTGGCATGATAATGCTCACAAAGCTCAGATCATCTCAGCGCCTTTGGGAAAGTTGGAACAGGACTGAGTGCAGCAGCTGTGTGATGTTATCACATGAACATGGTCCAAAATCTCAGACGTTTCCTGCAACTTTCTGAATCTGCGATGTGAAGAATTGAAAGAGGCTCAGACCTGGAGCTAGCAAGGTGTAGCTAATAAAGTGGCCAGTGAGTGTGTCTCATACAGCTGCACCAGCCACAGACCAGCACTGAAAACTACAAAAAGTGCTTCATGTGTCTATGAAACAAAAGGTCTCAGCTGTGAACAGACAACATGAAGTCAAAGGAGCTCTCCATGCAGGTGAAACGAGCCACCTTTAACCTGCCAAAGCAGAAAAAACCCACTAGAGAAATTGCTCCAATATTAGGATGAGCAAAGTCTCAGTCTGGTACACCATGAGACCGAAAGACAGCACTGAACTCAGCAACGCAAAAAGTCCTGGATGTCCACAGAAGACCGCAGTGGTGGATGATCGCAGAATAATTTCCATGGTGAAGAGAAACGCCTTCACAACAGCCAACCAAGTGAACAACACTCGATATCCAAGTCTACCATAGAGAGAAGACTGCACGAAAGTAAATACAGAGGGTTCACTGCAGGGTGCAAGTCACTGAAACCAAGATCAAGAAAAAAGTCAAGAGAAGACGTGGAACCGCTCATGATCCAGAGCACATCATCTGTAAAACACGGCAGAGGCTGTGTGATGGTGTGGGCGTGCACGGCTGCCAGTGGCACTGAGACACTAGTGTTTTTTGATGATGTGACTCAGGACAGAAGCAGCTGAATGACCTCTGAGGTGTTCAGAGACAGACTGTCTGCTCACATGCAGCTAAATGCAGTCGAACTGGGCCTCATTTCATAATAAAGATGGAGAACGACCCAAACCAGCAAAGCAACTCAGTTTATTAAAGCAAGGACGTGGAATATTCTTGAATGGCCAAGTCCGTCACCTGATCTTAACCCAACAGAGCATAAAGTCACCGTTACGCTCTGCACGCTCTCCTCGCCGTAAACTCAACTTTGTTCTTAGAAAACCTTTCAGCTCTGTGAGGTGACATCATAGAGACCCCCAATTTGGCTCACAAACAAATAACATGAAGAACTAACATTCCTAACATGTGACCAGCCGGGAACAGAATCTATAACATGACACAGAATTCACTTTAAAAACTATTTGTGTTTGCAGCTCGTTTGACTTCATTCACAGACATCACTGCACATTAACCCGACACATGTAAAGGCCTCAAGCAGCTTATTGTGTCAGAAGTTTGATTTATTTCAGTTTGTTTCCAGTGAGCAACATTTCCACACCTAAAACTGCAGATTCTGATTTGCTGAAGCACGAGCAGTGCAGCGGGGAGGCTTCTTCTCGTTTCGCCGGTTCAAAGCACAAAGTACATCGCTTACAAAGGACGGCACGGTTTGTTCTTTTTCAGCATCTCAAACTTTTGGTGTTTGTTCTGAAAAGAAACCATCACGTTTCCGCCTTTGCGTTATTCCAACACGCAGCATGCAGGTACGTGTGTCTCATTCTTAAACTCTCAAAGTATGAAACTTGCTTTTGTACAATAGACGAGCAGTAAACATGCAGACTGGCAGTGTTGAGCTGCCATCTAGTGGCTTTCTGGAAACATGTTTTTCTTAAAAGCCAAAGCTTTTAAGAAAAACATGTTTCACATTTTTCCCTTTTGTGTTTCCACTGGCTTCTCTCCGGGAGGCACACTGGGCACGGCTTGTGCTGCATTTGCCCACGGCAGGTTTATAATAGTTTGAGCCCTTAAGTTTTCTACAAAGACACTAAGACATTGGTGTGAAGTTAAACATCAGTGGGAAACTTTCAGCTGCTGAGGGTTACACTTTCTCTGGGGCATCCGCTTCTGATCTGGGACAGGAAGTCACTGTTTTTGTTTTTTCAGCACTGAGGCTTGTAAACAGCTTTGAAGGGCAGGTTTAAATGAGCAGCGAGCCTCCTTGTGTCAAACAGCCAGTTTAAACAGGCGGTGATCTGCTGAAAAGGCCTGCCAGGCTTTTTTAACCTGGCCTGTGCCGTACATGAGATAAAACAGGATCTAATATTAAACCTTAAAAACTAGCTGCTGTAGACCTATTCTGCTCATTCCTGCTCCGTTTATATTGCTGGTCTGAAATGGAATAGCTTTGCATGCCTTTTGTTCACCAGTGCAGTGCTGGTGCTAGAACCCAATCCCAAAACCTTCCACCAAAACAGAAAGTCTGCAGCAGTAACTAGCACCACCACAGCACAGGGCAAACAGCTGCAGAAGCTGCAGTTCCAGCAGTGAGTCGGTCCCCGTAGACTCTACAGTAAACGTTACAGCCTGACACAAAAACAGGATTTGGCCTCTGAGGAGGAGGATGACAGCTTCATCTGGGGCTGAAAGTTCAGGGTTTGAACGCCATCGTAGGAAAGTATACATGACAGAGAAAAAGGAAAAGCAGAATATGTCCACTGTAACCTGTGAGTGCATCTTTGTCTGTAAGGTGAAGCTGTCGTGTTTCATGAGCTCGGAAACTTTCAGAACCGTCACAAAATCCTCTATTAACTCCACGTGCTGCAGGGTAAAAGGTGTTTGGACACTTTATCCGGCTGATGAACAGTGAGCTGCACGTAAGATAGACCAGCACTTATATTTGTATTTTACATTATTTTGTGGTATAAACTGATTATCATGGTTATATAAGGATGATAAACGGTTTTTATTTGGCTCCACAGTTTAGTGAACCTGCAGAGGAAACCAGTGATTGTAACGCTCACCGGCACCAACACATGGAGAGTGATGAAGTATTTCTTGATAAGCTTGTAATCATGCAGTTAGTGAATACATAGCATATAATAGACCCTACATGTGTTCTGTGCAGACGTATACACCTATATACAGCATGACTCCCTCCCTCTGTCCAGCTTAACAAAGAGCTGATGCATCCGTGCGTTCCCTCTGAAAGTCCGTCCTTCATCCTGCTGCAGAAAGTCACTTTAGAAAAAAAAACTTTCCATGAAGATCTTTCTCCTCGCTGTGGTTCCATGTTTCCAGCTTGTGGAGAGGATGGTGAGAGGAGGAGAGGACACACAAGAGGACGAGCAACTCCTCAAAGAAGCCGCCTTGAACGTTTCCCCGAACTGAAGATTTAAAAAAACAAAGAAAACTGTAAGTCACTGACAGCGAGCGATGTGAGGCAGCGAGCTCAGTTTACATCTGATAAACTACATTTAAAGCGCGGGTTTCAAACATGAGGTTCAGGGGCCATAAAAAGCCCACATCATTCATCAGTGTGATGTGGCTCAGAGGTGTGCAGCACTCCTGACTGCTCCTGATGAGGTCTGTGGGTCTGATATGTAAACTCCACAGCTCCTCTGCAGGATTCAGGTCTGGCAAATCTGAGGGTTGGCCGGTGACAACGCCAATCATCAATAATCTACAACTGCTTGCATGACCACATGAAGCTGGCCAGTGAAGACTGTCCCGCAGGAGTAACGCACCGCCCACTTCATGGTGGTACCTAACAGCATTCAGGGTGCTGTCGGCTAACAGGTGGAGGTCTGCGCGGTCCTCCCTGACCATCGCTGACCCACCCAGTCGTGACAGGTGTCGACAGCAGAAGAGTCACCGTGGCGTCTGCAGACTCTTTCGTGTCTGTTGCACGTGCTCAGTGTGAACCTGCTTCCATCTCTGAGCACACCGCAGGCCCACAGCAGTGGTGGACCTGCCAGTGCTGGTTTTCTGGACAGAGCTGTGCTGTGAGCACAGGATCAGGTGTTCTTACAGCATAAAATCTGAAGTATTAACGTCATGTAGTGCTCTCTAAATGTTCCTCGAGATGTTATTATGTTATTTTGAAAATCTCCCGCCTGAGTGCAGCCATCTAACGAGAGGCGCTTGTAAAGCCTGGGGTCACCCGACTGATTCAAAACACATAATTACTGGAATATTTCAGTTTCATTATTAATTTATGTAAAAGTAAAATCAGAATTCAGTAAAATGATGAGAAAAGTAAAGCAAGACCTGACCCACAGTGAGCTTTGCTGCAAATGCATGACTTATATGTTGACATGAAAACTACTTACACATGTGTTCTTATGTGTCTGCGTGATTCTTGGATGTAATCTGATTACTGCATGACCTCCTAACCCGCCCTTTTTGCATCTTCTTAAAATGAAAAAGCAAACAAAAGAAACTAAATATGGAATTTCGTGGTGATCGAGACCTACCCGTGCTATTCTGCCACTTGTGCACCTGCACAATTATCTTTACTTTCCGATGCTATAGCTAAATACTCCTCCCTGGAAGAAAGCGAGAAGGAAAAAGGAGAGAAACAAGAATCAGAAGATGTCAGCTCAGTGAGAGGAAAAGGAAGATGTCATGTTGAAAACAGCAGATTGAAACAGTAGGATGGAAAAACGAGGTCGGAAGGTGGGAAGTCGGGACATTTGGACGGCCCGGCGGGATCTGGAAACAAAGTCCTGCTACTGCTCGTGTGCTTTAGGCGGTACTCACGCGCTCTCTCTCAGAGCCTCCTCTCCTGCTGCCGAGATCTTCCTGTAGCAGTAAATCATCTCAACCAAGAGCCAGAACTGCAGCCCGATGATGGAGACGTACATCATCACCTCAGACAGGATGGACGCCATTCCCCGGGTAACTACAGACACGCGCAGGGTTAATTTGGATGTTTATGCAATGCGAGTTTTACAAAGATACGACTCCTGGATTTAAAATCATCATTTCCTGAACTTCACATAGTTCAAAAATCTTCAATTGTCTTGATTCGATCTTAGTTCATCCTCCCTCTGAAACAAGCTGTTTTACCTCCACCTGACCCTCTATGACATCATAAAGATCCAAGAGAAGAAAAAAAGTGTCTGAAAATGAGTGTTTAACTCATAATCTTTCTTTTACTTAAGCATAGACTGACCTCATTACTGAGAGGAGACCCCCAGGCCGAATCGGGACCCTGGAGAGCTCATGTCTCTCATCTTTGTTAGGAAGGGAATTTATAAAGGAAGCGCTCAACCTGTAAAGCCAAGTGCATCATCATCTTCTACATCATCAGTATCATTTTTTTAAAATTAGATTACATGATGCATTTTGAGTGATAAATAAATCGGTAAGAAACAGAATCTAATTGTTTGGCAGCACAAACAATAACCGTTTTCTCTGTATGGTTGCAGGTCTTTACCTACAATATGAATCACTTTGTGATGTGAAGCTGCAACGTATTTTAAACCAGCGTCACGTTCAAAGCCGCTGACGTGGCTCATTTACACACAAAGTGTCCTTTGGAGGTGAACTGAGTGGTGACATCACTGAGACGGGGTGTTGTTCGCCATTTTTCAACATCCAGGGCTGCTGTTTTGGAAGGGTGTGCTGCTCTCTCCCAGAGGAGGAAAGTGACGAATAATCTGTTAAATACTAGTTTGCTTAAAAAGATGCACCAACAGAGTGTTGTACTGACACCCGACACAGCACACACACAGATGTCTGTGTGCTGCGTCGGGTTTACTACACGCCAAGTGATCGTATCTGCCGGATAATGGCATTTAACACCGCCAGCATGTCCAGTTCAGTAACTCTGGTTAGTGTGAGAAATGAGGCCCATCTCAGAACTCAAGTAAAAATTAGTAAACCAGAACAGGAAGTATGAGTCAGTTTTGAGTTCAGTGCTTACGCCGTGCAACCACATTAATGGTGATGTTCTTCTCTTTGGTCTTTTCGTAGGCATAGTTGCTGTATTTGAGGGTCCGGCTAAATTTGCATTTGTAGGTTCCAGTGTCATTGTAGGTCACGTTGAGGATGTAGATGGAGCCATCCTGCAGGTCCCTGGTATGCTTGCTGCCGTTCCAGTGCAGACGCTCGTAGAAACGTGGGTCAATGATCTCGTCGCGTTCATCCTCATAAATGTACAGCTGGAAGAGGAGGCGGAGGAGGGAAAGACATCATTTTACACTTCTTGTGTGTTTCTCTACCTGTTCTTGGATTGATTGACGTTCTTTGTTGTGAAATCATATTTATTTACAGGCTTCACATGAAATCACTCTAATCATTTCATTACACAGAAGACTCTCTGCATTTTAAAGGTTTTGGTTTTCGGAGCTATATTTGAAAGGAGAGTGTAGAGTGCTGCTCTGGCCATCGCCCAACACAAGCCTGATTAGAAAACTGCATCCATAAACTACACAGGTGCAACCTGGGTGTCATCTGCATAGCAGTGTAAATGTATGCTATGTCTTCTAATGATGCTGCCTAAGAGAATCATGTATAATGTAAAGAATTGGTCCTAGCACTGAACCCTGTGGAACTCCATAACGCTCGACCGCTCACAGGACAACGCGCAGGACAAGCACAGAGATGAGTCCACTGTCAGAGGCCATAAGAAGATCATTTGTAACCTTCACTGAAGCTGTTTCTGTGCTGTGATGAGCTCTGAAACCTGACTGAAACTCTTCCAATAAGCCTCTGCAGATGATCTCAGTCCAATCTTTCATATGTCTTGATGCATGTTCAATCATCCAGGTAAGGAAGTCCCAGAAAGTGGATTCTGTTCATCTGGACGTCATAAGTGGGAGAAACGTTTCATCCAGGTGACTTCTTCAGTCTGACTGCAGGTTTCCAATCTTATAAACAGGACATTTGCACAATGACTGAAACCAGCACCACTGAATGAACAATGGGCTGGGAGGTCAGTTCCTTTAATATGCAAATTGTCATGACCACTGATCAATAACCATGAGTCCCATTCACAGAGTTGGGGAATGGCTGCAATCACAGCATTGCAAGATGGTGACAGATGGACCCTTAGGCCCCTCCTCGGTTCAGAGATGGTCTTTCCCTTTTCACGTAAATGGCCTCCTTGACTCCGCCCTCAAACCAGCGTTCCTCCCTGTCCAGGATGTTACATCCTCATCTTTGAAAGAGTGTCCACTGGCCTGTAGGTGTGAACAGACTGCAGAGTCCTGGCCTGACGAGGAGGCTCTTAGGCTGTTTGATGAATAAATCGTCCTCCTGCATTCACACCATCTTCCAATGCTGTGAGCGCAGCCATCCCCCAACTCTCTGTGAATGCTGCTCACAGCCATTGATCAGTGACTCATGCATGTTTAAAGAAACAGACATCTGGTCTCCACATCTCTTCCCGATATTGACTGAGCTGCAGCCTACATCTCATATCTGCACTTGCTGGTGAATTAATGGATGCTGAAACTAAAAGGCAGCTCAAGGCTAATGGGATCTTTCCTGCTGTATGCATGAGGCGTAATGGCCTTTTGCTGTGCCTGGTTGTGTCTCCTTAAGTAAGTAGAAGATATTTTTCAGTCGGTGCTGAAAAGCTGTCATGGAAAATGCATCTCTGCTCTGCCTCATGATAAATGCATTGGCATCCTTTTCCCAGAAGAGAAGAGGCTGCTGTGATGACATGTGTGTTGAGACATCCAACATCTAGCTTCAGAACATTTTACTATATTTCTGGCTAAATAAATTTCACCACTGCTATTTTAGGGATATGCAAGCATAACTGACAGGATTTGGTCCCTGCTTGAAAAGCATCTACAGCTCATCCAACCATCTGATAAATAATGACTGCTGTGGGCCTAAATGTGCTAACACACCATCCAAGAAGTGAAAGCACCGAATAGGCAGTATGTACATGCCGCACATTTCACCTCTGCAGTTTATGGATGCAGCTTGTTAACCAAACACTGAGGCTTCAGAAACCGTGAATGACGTCAGCTTCCTTGTATATTCTGTGGTAAAATCTTACGTCTGAGAAGTCGCTGTCGCCTGAGCCTTTGAAGGACCATTTGACGGTGGCCGTGGCATCCACCTCGCCTCTCATCTTACAGTAGATGCAGCCCAGCTTGAAGCCGTCGTTGATAACAGCCTCTGTGTCCGAGTCCACTTCCACGCAGGCCCCGTGGCACAGCGGAGCTGCAGGGTGAGGGAGACGCAGTTAGTTTCTGTCTCTCGGCCTGTTTGCGGGTCACGGGGTCAGAGGCAAGTGCGGTGAGTGGCCGTCTTCCTCTCTGTCATGTGCCCGTGACTCGAGGGAAAGGCTGAATTTGGTGTTTTCTCTCAGTACTTGCAGGCAAACTGTCTAAACTGTACTCGAGAAAACAATGCTAGCTACGTGACTTTTACGTGCTTGGTCCCAATGCTCATTACATGCAAGTTTTTTGTATCGGGCATATCTTTTTTCTTGCAATTTTTTATTTCCCCTCATTGTTTCAGCTCATAGATGGATTAGATTTGGTAAGTTTGGGTTCTCTGTTTGGAGTCATTTTCACTTCTGGTGTTTTTAACTGAACCTGGGGGGAAATAAAGAGGTTGCAGTGAGCGATACCATTGTCTTGCATTCTGGCCACTGCTAACTGAGCTAAATTCATATATAGAAGCGTGAGTCTATATATGCCATCATCATCAGGACACATACTTCTCATCGGTCAGGAGTTACACACCTGCAACTCCAAATGTTTCTGTCTCACACTGCACCTTGCAGTTTCCACTGCGGCCTCAGCATCGCTCTCAACCAATGATCTTGTGCTATTCTCAACTCTCACCTCTGGGAAGCGTTTGATTTGAATCGTAAGATGGTGGGGAGGGGAATGAGGGAGAGGACAGAAACACACAGCACACAACGCTGATCAGAAAAATCATTAAACAGCAGCCGCACGTCGTCCGTGAGCACGCAAAAACGCCGCTCTGTTCCTTTACTTCCTGGGACGTTTAAAAGAAACACGCAATCGAAAAGCCACCACACGGAGGGACGTGGAAGGGGAGACATGAAAGAGGGAAGAAAGAGAAGGTTAGCACAGGTATCAGTCGTTAACAGCCATTTCTACAGGAAAAGCACAGGAGACGGGGAAGCAGGAGAGGAGAGGGGTCGATGCTGTATGATGCACTGCAGAGAGGAAAAAAGGGGAGGAAGGAGGAGAAGAGAGAGTTAAAAACACCATTTAAGGCTTCACAAATATAAACCCAAACACTACTGAGCCGACAGCTGTCGCATTACAAGAAGAGACTGAAGCAGACCAAAAACCCCCCAGATGGACCCGAGAACACCCGAACCCGAGCCAGAGGGCAATGATTGCAGAGGACTTGGAGAGCAGGGATGAGTGATTACATGAGTGCCTGGGGGAAAGCCACATTCAAACAAGCTGTATTTCATTTTGGGCAGAAAGCGCGTCCTGATGAGCGAGCTCAGAGAGAGCGGCAGCTGTCAGTCCGGACGCCTGGTTCACTCGTCACCATGTCAGATTTGTTGAACTGGATTTTAGTTCAGCGCCTGGTAGCTGTGAGCCGATTTTATTAGAGTTTGTGTTGTAAACTCATAATTTATGAATGCTCATAATTCAGAGCTCCACCCTCTCATCCAAACAAGTATGCACGCTTTTGGCATCCCCCCCCAAAATTATAGTGTGGCAGACCACTAGGGGGCTCCACTCACACCCAGCGAGAAGGGAAGGGGTAATGTTTTTGGGTTGTAGGAGGTGTTTGCCGCCTTGTGAGTTCGGTTGGTTGAAGCCGAGATTAAAGTTGGAGTAAAACGTGGCGAGCTCTCGTGTCGTCCTTACGTATCTCCACAATGGTGCCTGTGTCTACTTTTAATAAACAGTTTATAACACTTTAAATATACAGTCTTTTGTGTTTGGGTGAACTCGTTTACCACCATTCGCTGTCACTTGCTCGAGTCTGGGCACCTTCTTCTCATATGTTATTATAAACATCTGAAACAGTTGAATCATGACTTTGCTCTAAAGCGCGGGAGCTCGGGTAAGCTCGGGGTTTGGGGGTTTTCTGGGAGGCGAGCCTGCTGAACACCAAACAGGCCTGAGGCAAACACCGTCTGCACACACCGCTCAGAGGACAGAAGAAAACACAAGGCTGTTGCTTTATTTGATTTTTTCCCCTTTCAGATTCATATCTGCTGTAATTGGCTCTCGTCTCTGTTACAAATGCGATCTGATTGTTTGCGTTAATTGCACGCTGCTGTAAGCTGCACCAGCTGTCAGCGCCGCGGCTAATCCTCGCCACCAATAGAGGTCGATGAGAGTCAGTCATCAGTTAATGCCCCTGTGAAATCCCACAGGGGGAGCATCTGCAAATCAAACGATAGCCATTTCTTTCTACAAAGAGGTTCCACCAAGTTTCCAGCTGAGCATTAATGTGCAACAACATTTTGACTCAGGTCTGTGTACTGCTGACTTTACCTGATACAGATTCTACCATGAAAAGCAAAGAAAGGAAACAGGAAGGCAGTAAAGGAAGAGGACGTGCAGAGACACACAGAAGGGTTTGACATGAGACTAAAGACATGAGACCTGGAAAACAGACAGTAGAGACACATTAAAACAGGAACTAACCACAGCAGAGATCAGAGGAGGATAGAAGAGAGCGCTCTGGCTGCAGAGCCACACTGTAAACCCGAGAAAGTTCAACTCAGAGTCAAGCTGACGAGGCTCAGTTCACATATAAATGAATTAAAACTGCTATAAAACTTTTGATGATTGAGTTTTATCTTTTTTGCAGTATTTGCAGGACCTTTGTTGCTTTTCTCTTGTTATGCTACAACAGGTGTAGGCTGCTGGGGGGTTCCCACTGGGTGTTTCTTCTTCCCTCACTATGTGTTTATACACCTTTCTGCACTGAATCATTACTCATTATTAATCTCTGTCTTCCTCCCTCACCCCAACCTGTCATGGCAGATGGCCCCGCCCCTCCCTGAGCCTGGTTCTGCTGGAGGTTTCTTCCTTTTAAAAGGGAGTTTTTCATTCCCACTGTTGCCAAAGTGCTGCTCATAGGGAGTCATATGATTGTTGGGCCCCTTGGGGCAACTGTTGTTGTGATTTGGTGCTATATAAATAAAACTGAATTGAACTGCAGAACTTGAAGGTAGTTTAATGTTTGCAGGTCAACCCACTGCACTCATGTTGTCACAGATTAGCACAATATGAGCAGCTTAACGTTCATAAATCTAATTAAACAAACATGTGATGCAGAATATTTTAACCAACGTTTGTAATCTTTGCTGCTGCAAACCTCACCACACCCACTGACCTGATGACATCAGACACACATGTTGAAACAGAAATGAGTGCCATGAAATTATTCCATCAATGCATGTTAATCAGAAACTCCTCACAACGGGAGAAAATGTCACAGGAACTCAAAATACTTTCCCCCCTTGTTTAATATTAAGTTTACACAACATATTCTGTGTAATTACTTTATGCATTCAGGTTTACAGTGCAGATGTAAATCCAGCTGCACACACACACAGACAGCATGAGGCTCTGATCCTGAGGGAGGGAGGCTGGTGACGCAGTCAGAGGCCACACTGTGCAAGGTGAGCAAGGATGTTGCTGACTGTCCAAAGCTGAGGCAGCGAAAAGGCAGCGAGACGAACATGCAAGCAGACACAAAGAGGAGCTCACATCCAAAGTGCAGACTAGACAGTCAGCAGAGTCCCTGAGCAACGATTCCTCAGAGCAGCAGCCGCAGCAGTGCACAAACACAGAGCATCAAAAGTGCAAATCCATTGCGTAATCTGCAGACGGAGGTTCAGGATTATGCAACGGATATTCCAGAAAATGCAGATTAGGAGATTTCTTTTCCCCCCAACAGGCTGGTTAATCTCTCATTTTAGTTGCCGTTTGCCTCCTGAGGACTACAAAGCAAAAACAACCTGACTTAACTGCAAAAAAGACCATCCACCCAGTGAGGTGAGCTAGCTTAGCATGTCACAGGAGGCTAAAGAAAATACAGAAAGGATCAAGATTATTTGCTGAACTGGGCACAAGAGGAAGAAAAGAGAATTGGAGAAAGCGACAGGAAAAGAGATGAGTGAGAACGACATGTGTTTCCATGGCCGGGTTACCAACACCCACAGACACCGTGGGCATGTATGACCCGGGTTTAATGCCAAGTATCCGTGACATTTCCCCCGACACAGAGCCGGTGAGGGACTTCCTACTGGAACAAGGGAAACAAAAAGACACACAGCTCCGAGAGCATCGCTTTCGTTTTACTCCACAAAGACGCCACTTGATGGCACAGACGCAGGGCTTTACTTCGTGTTTTTTCCTCTGCAAGAGTAGAGTCTGTCCTGGGCTTAGGGTGACCCGGAGGTCTCAGAGTTTGGCATCACTTTTCCCCCGTTTCCAAAATCTAAATGAAACCGCTCAAAAACCAAAACAAGACCCCAAAACTACCAATACCAGTGCAGAATGTTTATCACAGCTAACTGAGCTAGAAACTAAAACTACATATGAAACTTGTTTTACTTGGCTGGGGTGTCTTAGGTCTTAAATTTACTCCTGTAATATATCACTTTAAATAAAACCTCAGAAAAAAACTGAACCATTTTAAACAATAAAAACGAAACAGAAACAATCAAGATCACCATGGAAACCAGCTGAAACTAAACTGAAAAAAGACAAATTAAAAAAATTACAAAACTGTAAAAAGCATTTACATTTTTCTTTCATAAATGACATTTCCAATGTCTTTCATGGGTTTCCAGTTTGGATATTTGACAAATAAACAATTTTAATATAAGATTTATTTAAGTTTATTTTTAAAAAGATTATTTTTTATGTTCACTAGAGGCTGCCTCCTAACGGCGAGTCACTCACAGACTCCCATGTTAAAATGTTAATGTTGACATGTTTATAGCCACGGGTCTTTACTGGGAATATTACAGATAATTTCCCTTTCATAACAACTGTACTGCAGTTCATTCATTCAACTCGACCAACTGCATTTTGTTAATGTGAAAATAAGAGGTCAGGGTTAAAAAGGAACAAATAAATAAACACTGAAAAGAACACAGTGGAAAACGTTAAACTAAAAATAATGCAAAAATAAAATAATACAAAAAATAGACACAAAATAAATATAAATGTTGTATTTATTGATGTTCAGCTGTAGCA